TTTTTCTTATTGTCTACATTAAACATTTAAGGTGTTTTGGCTTTAGCTGCTGTCACTAAAACCAACCAAAGTGTGTTAGGAATACCATGTTCCTTCTTAAATTGAGGATTGGCTGTAAATGCTAAGTGTCTGTGGCATGGATACTGTCCCTAACCCTGAAGAAAATGTGCAAAGTCACTTCTATGTGCTGTCGGCCAAATCACCTGTTTCTTCTATTTGGAAGATCAGTTTGATGACCTAAAAAATTGAGTTATTGTCTGTGTACCCAATTGACCTTCCACTTAAAGCCAAAGTATTCAGCTAAAAATACCTTTATAGTTTACTGGCAGATTGCCTGTTGCCTCTGAAGAATTAAGGTAGTTAGCTGGGCCCGCATGGAGTAAAAGCTAAGTCACTTTCTCTCTTGAGTAGTGTGTGCACCCTTGGTTAAGAGGAGAAAACCAGATTCCTGTTTTGTATTAGGATGCAATTAAATATATACAAACATAAAAAATAGTACAAACTCTTAATCTCTTGCAAACCACTCTAAAACAGCCAGGCATGGTGGCTCTTGCCTATAATTCTGGCACTTTGGAAGGCTGAGGCAAGAGGATTGCCTGTGGCTAGGAGTTTGAGACCATCCTGCTCAACATGGCAAGATTTTGTCTCTACAGAAAATAAAAATTAGCCAGCTGTGGTGGCATGCCTGTAGCCCTGTAGTCCCAGCTGCTAGGGAGGCTGAGGTGGAAGGATCACTTGAGACCAGGAGTTTGAGGCTACAGTGAGCTACTTTAAAAATATTTTTAAAAATGTAAAAGGCTGGGTGCTGTGCCTCACACCTGTAATCCCAACACTTTGGGAGGTCAGGGCAGGTGAATTACTTGAGGCCAGGAGTTGGAGACCAGCCTGGCCAACATGGTGAAACCCTGTCTGTACTAAAAGTACAAAAAGTAGTCAGGTGTGGTGGCCCGCACCTGTAATCCCAGCTACTTGGCTGGCCATGACACAAGAATTGCTTGAACCCAGGAGGCAGAGGTTGCAGTGAGCTGGGATCATACCACCGTACTCCAGCCTGGGCAACAGAACAAGATTCTGTGTCAAAAAATAAATAAATAAAGTAAAAGTTGTCCGGCGTGGTCGCTGTGGCTCATGCCTGTAATCCCAACACTTTGGGAGACTGAGGTGGACAGATCACTTAAGATTAGGAGTTCAAGACCAGCCTGGCCAATATGGTGAAACCCCATCTCTACTGAAAAATACAAAAATTATCTGGGCATGGGGCGTGCACCTGTAGTCCCAGCTACTCAGGAGGCTGAGACAGGAGAATCGCCTGAACCCAGAAGGCGGAGGTTGCAGTGAACCGAGATCACGCCACTGCCCTCCAGCCTGGGCAGCAGAGTGAGACGCCATTTTAAATAAGATAAAATTTAAACTAAAATACATTAAATACAAACAAAGCCAGTGTAAATTTTTGATTGTGTGCTTGGTATTTTGCTGAAACTAAATTTCCAATGTATTGGGAATATGGCAGCAACTGTTAAAAGTTAAGGGAGTTTTTTAGTTTGTTAACACTCCCCTAGGCCATGTGGTGGTTCGGTTCCCCTTTTATAGTAAGCTATGAGGTTATTAAGTTTCCGTAGTCATAGGTGCAGTCACATTTTAAGTTCAGCTCCATTCTTTTCTCATTTTCCTAGGCAGTTGGTGTAATCTGCAGAGTTTGTGTCAAAGAAAACACAGAGCAGAAGCCACAAAGCACTACTTAGATGAGACATAGTGATTCAGATGTCTCAGAATAAGCTTATATTTGTCTTTGAGATAACCACTAAAGTGAAAACAAAACATTTAAAACTTTTGAGCACAGACCTCATGGATCTATCAATGAGTAAGCTAACAAAGGCATGTATTCTAGTCCTGGAGGGGAGAAGAGGCAAGTGGGAACTTAAAACAGATAATTCTGGCCCTTCCGTGTGGCTCATGCCTGTAATCCCAGCACTTTGGGAGGCCAAGGCTGGAAGATCAGTTGAGGCCAGGAGTTTGAGACCAGCCTGGGCAATATAGCAAGACCCCGGTCTCTAAAAAATAATAATCAATCCACACCTGTAGTCCCACCTCCTCCACAGGCTGAGGGGAGAATTACTTGCCCTCTAGGAGGTCAAGGTCCAGACCACAGTGAGCTTTGATGGCACCACTGGGCGACCCAGGGAGACCCTGTCTCAAAAAAAGAAAAAAAGATGGTAATTTTAATTGCACTGTGAACAGCTTATGCTCGGGGACCCTGTTTTATATATCTGTTATCTCACAACACTCAACATTGTGCTTGGCATTATTTACAAAATGTCTGATTGGATTTTCCTCGGAACTTTTCTGTTAAAATGTTTGCCATCGTACTATTTCAAAACAAATGACAATGCTAGTACTACAGTTAAGAGAAGAATAGACTGTGGTGGGATGAAAACCTTAGCTTAGCCCACTTAAGAACTCCTGAATGAGACTACAGTTAAGAGAAGAATAGACTGTGGTGGGATGAAAACCTTAGCTCAGCCCACTTAAGAACTCCTGAATGAGACTACAGAGGGACGTGTATATATTTTTTGTTGTTTGTGTTGTCGCCTTAATTTTTTTTTTTTTTTAAAGATCTCAATAGCAAGTTTTCTAGAGGTTGTAAGACTCATCAAACTAATATGTCTTGGAAAGGATACCTATAGTAAAGCTCTCAACAAATTATTTGTCAGGTAAAATACATATTGGTGCCTTTGTGAGTGGCAGAAGAGGAAAAAAACTATTAACTAAATTATTTTAATATATCAGACATAAAGAAGAGATATAAACTGTTTTCCTATGCCTCCAGTATTTTAAAAATAGGAGTTCAAATTGGTATTTTTAGGGCCTCTTTTGACACTGTATTTTGTTACCTTAAAGGCTCAGTTTTTGTTATGAGACAGCGTCTTGCCCTGTCACCCAAGCTGGGATGCAGTGGCACAATGACAGCACATTGCAGCCTTCAACTCCTAGACTTACCTAGCCTCCCACCTCTGCCTTCAAGTAGCTGGGACTGCAGGTGTGAGCCACTGCACCAGTCCATGTTTTCTATTTTTATTCAGAGTGATCAACAAGCTCCCTTGGTCCCTGCAACCATTGATTTCC